ATCATCTATCATCTATCTATCTATCTATCTATCTATCTATCTATCTATCTATCTATCATCTATCTATCTATCTATCTATCTATCTATCATCTATCTATCATCTATCTATCATCTATCTATCATCTATCTATCATCTATCTCTGTCTATCATCTATCTCACTGTGTGGTATAGAGAAGGGGAGAGTGTGCATTGGTGCAGTCAAAGGAGACTTGATGGAAGAGTTGGTTCTTGGATATGGCCTTGAAGGATGGAGTGGGTTTGAAGAGGTGGAGAAGAGGGTGGAACCATATGAACAAAGGCTCCAAGGCTGGACCGTGAACCTGACTTAGGGCTGCCTTGGCTTCCCCCAATTGGTGTTCACCTGCAGGCACCTTGCTATTCTTATTGCTTTGTTTGGTCACCTGAGCTCTTTGTCTCCCATCAAACTAGTATTATTGAACCCCGCCTGTGTGCTTAGTCTGGTTTTGTATCAGGACATGTGAGATGCACCCACGTCCCACCAGGTACCTTCCTGAAGATGTAGTGCAGCAAGCCAGGGAATAACAAAGTCTTGAAAACACTGCTCAGGGCGGGGGCTACTCTGTAGTCCCAAAGCTCACTAGGCAGCCCCCACTCCCACAGTTTCTCTGCTTGTCTGTCCCTGCCCCAGCTGGAAGCCTGTGGCAGAATACATCGACCAGCAGTTTGAGCAGTATTTCCGAGATGAGAGTGGCCTGAACCGCAAGAACATCCAAGACAACAGGGTGCACTGCTGCCTCTACTTCATCTCACCCTTCGGCCACGGGTATGGTCCGAGCCTGAGGCTCCTGACACCACCGGGTGCTGCCAAGGGAACAGGCCAAGAGCACCAGGGGCAGGGCTGCCACAAGCAGGTGGTCACAGATTCCTGTTCCCCAGGCTCCGGCCATTGGATGTTGAATTCATGAGGGCCCTGCATCAGCGGGTCAACATCGTGCCTATCTTGGCTAAGGCGGACACACTGACACCTCCTGAAGTGGAGCGCAAGAAACGCAAAGTGAGGGAAGCTGGTGCGGGGAGGGGAGTAGGCGGGCTTCTGGAAAGGATGGGGTCCCCAGAACTGTGGGCCCCTCATGTGTTTGCCAGATTCGGGAGGAGATAGAGCACTTTGGAATCAAGGTCTACCAGTTCCCAGACTGTGACTCTGATGAGGACGAGGACTTCAAATTACAGGACCAAGCCCTAAAGGTGGGGCCACCCCAGGGCATCCCTTTCCCATCTTGTTTCTTTTGGGCAGAAGAAAGAAGTAGCATTCTGTATGAGGATGGGCTGTGTGGGGTGGGAGAGGCCCCTGGTTTCCTAGAGTGAAGCAGAGAAGATGAAGATGTGGATAAAAAGGAACAGGTGAGAAGGGGGCGTGTTGACAGACACCCCAAACTTCTTCCAGGAAAGCATCCCATTTGCTGTCATTGGTAGCAACACTGTGGTAGAGGCCAGAGGGCGACGAGTCAGGGGTCGTCTCTACCCTTGGGGCATCGTGGAAGGTAAAGCCCTGAACTTTTGATTGGGGTACCTCCTTGCCCTCAGTGACTCTACCCTACCCACGTCCCTGGCTGACCCCTAGCCTTGCTATGCAGTGGAAAACCCAGGGCACTGCGACTTTGTGAAGCTGAGGACAATGCTGGTGCGTACTCACATGCAGGACTTGAAGGATGTGACACGGGAGACACACTATGAGAACTACCGGGCACAGTGTATCCAGAGCATGACCCGCCTGGTGGTGAAAGAACGGAATCGCAAGTATGGTCAAAAGCCAGGGCAGAGCTGGCAGGGGGGATCCCAAGCACAGCCTTGGGTGAGACGGAGCCCTTGAGCCCTTCCTTTTTCTTCTACAGACCCTGGGCTCGATCCAAGCAGGTGTTGGGGTCCCCTTAGCCTTACCAGCCCTCCTTTCCCCTTTCCCTCAGCAAACTGACTCGAGAGAGTGGTACCGACTTCCCCATCCCTGCTGTCCCACCAGGGACAGATCAAGAAACTGAAAGGCTGATCCGAGAGAAAGATGAGGAGGTGAGAAGGGGTATGGGGTGGTAGGGGTTGACAGCCTGGGAATTCCCCTGCTTGATCATAAACCTTAGTGTCCCTTGGTTTGGGAATAGGAAGATCCCTGGCCCTGGTGCATATCTTAGTCCTGGGCTGGATAATTAGTGGTTCTACCCAGGGTCTCCAACACACCCCAGGGCTACCAAGACCCTGGCTCAAGGGATTAGAGCTTGGGGATACTTCCCTAACACTATAGGACTCTCTGAAAGTACCTATTTTGATGCATGTGCCTGTTCCAGCTGCGGCGGATGCAGGAGATGCTGTACAAAATCCAAAGACAGATGAAGGAGACCCATTAGCTGGCTGTCAGCCCTGGATATTTAAATCTCCTCCCCTTTGTCTTGCCTATGCCAGCCCCTCCCAGCACCAGCTCTGCTCAGGCCCCTGCAGCTACTGCCACTTCGCCTTACATCCCTGCTGCCTCCCAGAGACTCAGAGGAAATAAAGTTTAACAAATATATAGGTGGCTTCTGGTGTCACTGTCTGTATCTTTACCACCTCCTGGGAACCAAGAAGATCCTAGGACTCAGTTTTGAAAGGCTGCCGGATGAGGGTGCTGGTTTATGGCTTCTAGTAGGGAAGGGAGAGTGGGGGAAATTTTCTCTCCCATGACAGGATTCAGCCCTTCCCTAGAACCCAGTCTGGCCTCTCCTTTTTACTGATTATATCTATCCTGCCTCTAATATCTGGGACCTGGGCCTTTCTTCATTTTTCCCACATACAGTACATTCAGTTCTATGGAAGTTTTGGATGTGATATCTGCCCTTAGGAAAACATGGTATTAACTGCATGTAGCCTCCTGCTTTCCTGTTCCCCTCATCTGGGGAAAGGGATATAAAGAATTAAGCTCTGCACTAGAGGAATCCTGTGACAGAGCACTGGACAAACGTTGAAACCTCTGTAATCACCGAACACTACAGTAAATGCTGGGAATGAATAGTCACTGCCCCGGAAGAGTTCAGCATTTAACAAATATTTATTAAGCATCTCCTAGGTTGCAGACACTGCACTAGACCCAGGCAAGGTTCCTGTTCTGGAATTTACTAACTGTGGTACAAGTTCCAACGTTCTATAAACAGACACGTTGGCTCCAGGACGTGCGTGGCCTTAAAGCATTCAGGGCCCACTCCAAACTCAAGCTATCCGTTGAGAACCTGAACCCACTGTTCTCCATTTCTGTCAGGGGCGGTGTATGCGGGGCCACGGCGCCCCCCAGCGGCACCCTCCGTCCTGCTCTCCGCTCGGGCTCCCCAAGAGAGGAAGGGAGGAGCGAAGAGCCTGGTCTCGGGACAGTCTTACTCACCACTCCCTGCACAGACTAGGCGGTGGCGGCTAGCTAGTGGCTGTCTCAGATCCAGATTTCCTATCTCTCAGATGAAAGGTCTTGACTCAGGAATGACGGGAGCCATGCTGGTCATGAAGGACGGCAGGGCCCGCTCGCCGATGAAAAGTGAGGGTCAGAGGGACCTGTCAACACGAAGAGGGAAAACCCTCCCGCCGCCTGTCGGAGGAGAGAGAGATACGGAGCCTTAGGCCCAGCCCTCCTCCTCCTCTCAGCCTACGGGGTCTCGCCTCTCTTTCCGACTTTGGGCCGGGACGATAGCAGCGAAACCAAAACGGGAAATGGATAGACTGAGGTGGAACGGGCGATCTTTTTAAGAAACATCTCCAAGGAGGGGTCGTCACCGGAAGTGGCTGTAAAGGCCTGTGCCCCAACAAAGCCCCGCCTCCAATTGCACTGCCGGTAGGCCGCAGGCCTCTCCCACTTCCGGCCCCTGGAGCCTTAGCCCGCAGCCCCCCTTTCATTGCTCTCCCATTGGCTGCCGCAGGGACGCGCTGTGATTTCCCATTGGTCGCATCTCTTCTCCAGTACCGCGCCTCCTCCCTCCAGGTACAGTCTTGTCTTCCGGCATCCGATAGGCTAAAGGTTGGGAGGGCGTCTGCCCAATTTGACCAATGAGCTGCGTGAAGAGTGAGGGCGGTGGCTGCGTGATGGGGGCAGGGCGGGACTTGGTGTGGCGATTGGCCAGGGCGGGCACAGACGAGGGATACGATTGGTTGGGGAGAGGGGCACCGTGGTGGGGTTGTAGCTGCGCGGTCTCAGCAGCTGCGGGAGACGGAAGTGGTGAGAGCTCGGCCTCGGAGGGTCGGGCGGACGCCGCCTCGGTGAGTCACTGTGCCCCGTACACTGCCAGTCTGGGAACCGCAAAGACCGCGTCTTGCACGGCCCCGCCCCGACCCCACGGGCTTTCGTGAGCCCCGCCCTCTGTCATTCGGGGCTCCGCCTCCGGGCCTGTAGGCTCCGCCCCTGGAACCTGGGCACCTGGGAT